ATATATATATATATATATATATATATATATATATATATATATATATATATATATATATATATATTAAGCATTATACTCTTCTCTAAACTTAGCAACCTCATACGGTGTATAAGTTTCTTCCGGGTAGGAGCATTCACACGGATCAACATATACATATACATATACAGATACACACACACATATATATATATAAATATATATATATATAAATATATTTATTTATGCATTATATTCTTCTCTATACTTAGCAACCTCATAGGGTGTATAAGTTTCTTCTGGGTAGGAGCATTCACACGGATCAACATATACATACATACATATACATACATATATATACATATATATAATATATAAATATATATATTTATATTATATTATGCATTATATTCTTCTCTATACTTAGCAACCTCATAGGGTGTATAAGTTTCTTCAGGGTAGGAGCATTCACAGGGATCAACGCGCGAAACAAAAGCATTACTCCATTCTGAGTAAGCATCTCCTTTTCTTCTTTTTCTGAATATAGGTTTATTTATTTCAATAGGAATACGAGTAAAGCAGTTGTTAGCACCAAACAAAGCAGAAGAAACTGCAGATACACCCGGATCTCTTTGCTGAGATAAAGGAACACCAAAATGTAAAGGGCCAGGAGGAGGTGACCCTGGTATATAGTAATGAGGAGGAGGCTGAGGTTTCTCTCTATCATATATTATATTTCTCTCTTCTGTTTCTTTCTTTTTTTCTCTTATCTCTCTAAAATACTCACCCGCTTTGTGCTTTTCTAGCTCACCACCACCACCCACAAAATAAGATAAAAACTCTGCGTGTGAAGCAGAGGAGGGGAATGGGGGGGCCGGGGCAACGAACCGAGACATCTTTGTATATAAATATAAATAAATAAATATATTTATTTATTTATTTATTTATTTATATATGTGTAAATATATAGTGGTAGTATAGATTAGTATACACGAGGAAGTCAGGTTAGTGCAGCGGAAAAAATGAATGCTGCAACAAAACACACACACACACAAATATAGAGAGATGCATGCAACAGATATATCAAAACGCATGCAGCAGCAGCAGCAGCAGCAGCAGCAGCAGCAGCAACAACAACAACAACAGCAACAGCAGCAGCGGCAGATGGTTGCAACAGCAGCAGCACACTCCCAAAACCAGCAGCAGAAAGACTACACATAGAGAGAAGAAGTGAAGGTGAAAACACACAGAAAAAAAACGAGAAAAAAAAACAAAGAAACTGAAAGAGAGTGTGTAAGAGAGCTACAACAGAAACAAAAAAAAAAATAAAAATATTTTATGGTGTGCTGCTGCCTCTTCTCTCTCCTCTATCTGTACTAGCTCTGCCTGTGTTTATTGCTTTTCTTTGTTTGTATTCTGCTGTATATCTCTGTAGTGCTTTCAGGTTCTTGTTTAGTCTCTTCTCATAGTGAAGAGCGGCAGCAGGAGAAAGCAGGGGGAAAGCAGAGATAAATTGCCTCAACAATGTGTAATTTGGAGGAATTTAGAATGAAATTGAGAAATAAAAACGAAATAAAAAGAAAAAAACAAAAAAAAACGAAAAAAAAAAACACAAAAAGAGGAGGTGAGCCAGCGGCCCTGACTCGGTGGTCTCGCAACCGAAGCAGAAGCCGTTTTTTTTTTGTTGTTTTGACTTACATGAAAAGGAAGATGAATAGTTTTATATTTTATTTGAATAAATATAATATATAATTCACAAAAAACCAGAAAAAAAGCAGCAGTTTAACAAACCAGCCACATACAGCCGAGCGACAGCATCGGAGCTGCATATACACCTCAGCTCCTCTCTCCATCCCGCTCACACT